GACCTGCCTGGCGCCACCAGGTCACCAGAGACCCGTGCATTTTGACAGTTTGACATACTTTTGACATACTTTCAAGACAATTTGAGTAGAGTTGGTCTCTTGCCATGCTGTTTAAGGACATGCTGTTGCCTGGTTGAGCTCTGGCTCAACGCCGGTAGGCCCAACCTTACGAGACACTTGGCTGGCACAGCCCTCGCGCGGGCACGCGCTGAAGAAGCGTGGGCAGTAAAGTCGGGTCCGGACAGACGTCGCCTGAACATGTCGGATGGCGGCGAAGCCTCTGAGCAAAAATGCAACATGGGTCTCCAACGGTCTGATTGAAGAACTTGGCTTGTCGACTTCTTGACTTCTGCCTGCCCGCTTGGTATCTTGAGCTTCTTGAACCGCGGAGGCCTCCAGCGTCAGGGTGGTCATGCGCAACACATTGGCCGTGTGCGCTCTTCAAACTATCTGGCAATGTCTGGAGGGCATGCGAAGGCTGGGGAGGAGGGAGCACTTTCGAGTCTCGGGCCCTGGACCAGGAGCCACACCCCCTCCCAGGTGATCTGTTGGCCGGAGCAGCGGAAGAACCGAGGACTGGCAACAGTCCAAGATCACCGTGGCCTCAGCTACTGCGAGCCCTAAGCTATCCTAAGCTCACCGCATTCTCCGACTTAGCAGCCCTGCCTTGCAGCTTGCTGGCAGCGTGTGCAAGGCGGAGGTGATGAGAGACATGGGCACAAGACCTCCCCAAGCACTACAAAGCGGCAGATATAGTGTTGAATAGGCATATTCTGTCGCGATCTGTCCCCAGTATCTGTACACAGAAATTAGCAGCCCTATACAGCTGAAAAATGTAGCCAAAGGCTTGCCAACAATGCAAGATGAAGGGAGCTCAGGCACTCACGATAGCCCCCTGATTCGGCAGCTCTCTGGGCCATCTCAGGTGAAAGCTCGCATGCCTGAGGCGCTCTTGAGCGCTTGGCCTAGATTTGAGTGGTTTGGGCATTTGGGGCAAAGACGACGTCACCAGTACTTGCGCGTGTCTGGCCACGATAGTCAAACACACTTAGTCACCATGTGAGCATCTAAAAACCCGAACACACGAACATTTGCGCAGGGATGACAGGCGGCACACAAAACATTTTCGGAACTCACGTGTAGGGATGTAGATATTGTACGTGCAAAAATGCATGTCGGCAGAACAGCAGTGGAAAACAATGAGCGACTTGCATCAGAAACGGACACCATGCGCTGAAACAAGAACGAGAACTCAAGTCCAGGGATTCAGGCGCTGCACATCCTCAACGACACCATGGGCCAATGAAACAGAAACGAAGGGTAATCAAAGCCAACGCTAAATTGCAATTCAGAACCCAAGTGTAGGGATTGAGATGTTGCTGCATCGCATCAACAACGATGGCAACTGACGCAGAAAACCTACACGTCCCGATGGACGGGATCCTGATGGACGTAGAAACACATGTCCTGAGGATGTGATGTCGGCAACAAACCCCCGAAAATGACAAGAAAAACGTCCGGATGGATGGCGAACGGCCAACGGCACCGTGACCGATGCTGGGTAATGTTGGCTTGCCGGAAACCCCTAAACCCTAAACCTCTAAACCCTAAACCCTAATCAGTCCCGAATGCCATGCTGACTCAGAAGCTACCGGAGATGCGGAGTCCGACAAAACACATGGCCCAGCGTCGGAAACAGGACCCGCAACGCGCCCCATCCTATTTGCACGTACTTTGCGTCTTGGGATGTTCCCCCTCATGCCAACAGTCCTTAGTTGGGATTATCATATCCCCTATGATAATTCCTATTCAGGACTGCTAGTATATTTGAGTCCTTTAGGTCGTCGAGGGGTGGCGTGTGACCGCCCAAACTGGTGGCCTGTCACCGCCGCCTTTTTTGTCCCCCCCCCCCCCCCCCCCCAAAAAAAAAAAAAAACAACCTAAACCCTAAGCACTAAACCCTAAACGCCCTAAACCTTAAACTTTAAACCCTAAACCCTCAACCTGTCCTGAGACCACCTGCTGGAGATGCTGCTTCAGACCTGCCTGCTGAGAGTTGCTGCCGTTGCTGGACACCCCTTTCCATTTCTGTCCAACGCTGTAAGTCTCTCTAATGCTCTAAACATCTCTGGAACTGTCCGATGCTGATCCTTGCTTGACTCCGCGTGTCCTGTAGCTCCTGAATCATCTCTGTGCCTTTCCTCCGCGTGGCGCGCGTTCACTACTGGTTCCCTACATGTTCGCTGCTCGGCCGTGAGTGACACCGTCCAGTCGCAACCAACTCGACTCAAGTGAGATTCCACTGCCCAGGTACGGATTTGCAGCACCGCTCGACTTCACTTTGGACGTCCTGGGGAAAAACGGTCCGACTAAACAAATCTCTCTCCTCTCGTAACGGCTGTCAACATCTGTCCTTCGGCAGGTCGTCCGCAAAGTCGACGGGAACCAGATACCCCTGCGCACCCAGCCTAACTTAAGCATCTCACAGAGGCCTTCCCTCAAAGGAATCCAAGCACACAAGCAAGGATGCCTGGTACAAACCGTCTGCTTCAGAGTCTGGCTGTTGTGCACCGTAGCCGCTGAAGTAGATGAGCACATTGTCCTTATCTGCGACAGGGGCTGTCAGCTAATGATCAGACATCTTCTAGGGCCCTGTAGGGCGTTTGAGCATCAGCTTTGGAAAGAACATGATAGGACATCCCTTTGTGCAGTGCGCAACTCAAGGGGTGCGCAACTCCTTCCAAATCCAAAACTAGTGGACTCGTATGCCTGTGTATTTAGATATCAGGACCGCGAAATTCTTCTTTTGGCACAAGCCGTCTAGAAAAACTACCAGTATTTCCGGTCAAGTATTTCGGGCCAAGAGAACTTAGAGGGCTCCAAATGCCTGTGGAAGGTTTTGTTGGCTACCATATCTCTCCCACCCTCCACCCATCCAACCCCCAGGATCAAGACTTGAACGCCCACTTTTACCAGCTTGCCGTCACTAGCCATGTCATGCTTAATTTCGCGTATTCGCCATTCCAATTCTGATTGTGTGTGGCACCTTCCTCATGATGCTGGCCTTATGAAAGAAACTCATGTCCTACAGAGCCCTTCACAGGAAAGTCCTGAGCGCTGTGCTCCAGGTTTCGCGCCGGCGGTGAGCCACTGCAGCTCGGCACTGATATTGTCCCTATCCAAAATGCTTGGGAAGACGCGTCGCAAACAGCCAAAGTACGGAGGCACCTGGTGGGCCGTCGGTTTGCCGGAGTTGAAGAGGACTCGGCATAGTCAACCAAGCATCGGACCTCCGCTTCGCAAAGGATCAGAACACAAGGAGACGCTGCCCCAGGAAGCTAGAGCCATGGAAGCCCGAGCAGTCTCCCCGGCCTGAGCCTCTGTGTACTGCAGCGACCTGCTCTCTAACGATCGAGTCTGAAAGAAGAACGGTGCAATGGAGCCTGCATGCCAAAAGTGAGATAAGAGAGGACAACCGAGTATGCTGGGCACCCAACTGCCTCAAGAGGCACTGAACATTCCAGGCATCATTGGCGCATCCGAGGAGCGGAGCAAAGGTTCCACAGTAGTTGCATCCTTGCAATACACTGCTTTGACACCTCTCGGGACCTCCTCTGAGGAATCAGGCTCCACATTGCCATCATGTTGCAACTCTGTCCGGGGCCTATGACGAGTGCTCGCCGCTGCGCAGCTGCTTTCACGGACCTCAAGAATACTATAAGGCTTCGCACAGCCACAGCGCCGCTAACCCTGATTGCCCATCACGACATTCCAAGGTTGCCCTGAGTTCATGATCAGGCTCATGATTGCTCAACAAAATTCTACGACATTGCGCGGAAAAAATCGATGTCGGCGTTCTCTCATGGAGCTATGTATGACGCCACAAGTGCTGCCCTGCAGGCACTGAGCTCATAGCAACGTTGGCCCCATGGTCAGTGAGCCATGCAATGAGCAAGGAACCGAGCGGATGCTTCCGGAAACTTCCTGCCAGCTGGTTGATCGGCGTGTACTGGCGATGCTAAATGCCACGACCATCCACGACCTCCTTCGCACCCCGAGACTCTCCAAACCAGCAAATAAATGTAAAAATGCATGTGTGTATATATACATATACATGTCATATATACATCTACCCGGCAATGGCTGCCCTGCGCAAGGATGCGTCCTCTGACTGCGCCTGCTGCTCCAGTTCTCGAAGCTCCTTCTCCTTCTGGACCAGCTGCTCCTGCCACATGCGGAGAGCTCGGTAGTCGCTGCTGCTCCAAGTTCATTCTAGGAAGGTTGCCACTACGCCGGCCTCCAGTGCGGAGGCCTTCTGTTGGAGAAGCCCCTCTGCTGCCTGCACTTGGAGTTGCGCGGTGACCGCCTGGCTCTCACTCGCCTCAGTTGCCATCGCATCCACGGTGTATTCACAAAATGCCTGCAACTGCAGCTGGTCTTCGCAAAAAGGGAGGTTCTGCACAGAAACCGGAGACTGAGCGTGAAGCTGACTGCTTCCAGTGCTGCAGTTCATCCTGCAGATCGCAGCTTCCCCTGAAACTCTTGCTGAATCAGACTCATGCTCAGCTTCTGCTCACGAGTCCTCGTGGGACTGCACCTTGGCTGCAACTCTCAGGCGCTGCACCTGACAGGGCACATCCACAAATCCTGTGGTATCTGCATGTATCTGCCATGCCCACTGCACAAACCTGCCTCTTTCGCCCACATCGACAGGTCCCCAGCAAACTGTCCCATGGCTTGTTGCTGCATTAGGTCAATCTCCTGCACTTGCGCAAGTGAGGTCTCGCAACATGCAGTGGTCAAGTGGTCAACCCAAACCACAACTTAAATAGTGAGCATGCCTGCAGAGGCCAGAGAATGCTTCCAGTCATCACCGAGAAAAACGAGGAGTGATGAAGTTGGAGCGATAGGAATGATGGAAGCAATCTGTCACGGACACGTAGGAACCATACTAATACCATGGCAAGATGACCGACCTATTTTGTTCCATGTACGCATACAACATGAGAGCGACGAAATCGCCGCAGCGTCTTCTAGCTTCACTCACCATCATCTCACCGAGTGTGAAGCTTCTGATGCCCGAATCTAAGTTTAAAGCAGCTGTTTGAAATCTCCCCAGAACCAGTCCATAAACTAGAAGAGGACGAAGACATGCTCTCACCACATCTGACGCGCAAGGTCCGAAATCAAGTTAAGCCAGGTACTCGCAAGTTTCTTCCTTGGAGCTTGATATTTGGAGTCACCTAAATTAAATCTTTCCCTCATGCACCTGGCTCAGACGAACCTCTACCAATGCATAGTGTCATTCTTCTCCTGTCTACATTCGGCGTACCCAATTCAGCAGTGGCGAAAACCCTCTGGACTGTATATTATCCTCTGGGAGTGCTCTCGCGGCCCATCGCGCGGGCCTCTTC